TGCTGATGTTGTTTCGTTATGTAGAATGGCCGCTGAACATAGTGATGCTAAAAGCATACAGCAAACTGGTCTAGTCATTTTCTTTTTTAAAAAAAATTATTTAAAATTTTAGCACATTTTTATATGTTATATTCATGGAACTTTTAGGTGAACCATGTGATTTAAAAATTTATAATGATGATTTTTTATATGGATTGCAAAAAATCCGAATTAGTGGTTTACAAGAAAAGAATAGTGTCCAGAAAGTTGAATCAGTAAAATGGTCTGATATTGGTGGGCTAGAAGAAGTAAAAGTAGGATTATTTGGATTTTTAATCTCTAAAAAAGATAAACTTGATAAGTGTATTGAAACACTTTTTTTTAGAGCATATTAGAAGAATCAGTAATTTGGATATATAAACACATCGATGATTTTCGTAATCTTGGAATAAAACCTTCTAATGGTGTTCTACTGTGGGTTGCCTCACTATATTATTATTATTTTTTAAACAGACATTTTTTTTTAATATTATTCCAAATTTATAGTTATGGTCCACCAGGTACGGGTAAAACTCTACTAGCAAAAGCCGTGGCCACGGAGTCATCTGCCAATTTCATTCCAGTTTCAATACCGGATTTGATCAAAGGTGAGGTAAGAAATATTCTTTGCATTATTTCTTTCATCTGTTAGGTTAAACATATATAACTAATTAATGTTGAATTTGATGTTTTAGGTTGGAGAATCAGAGAAAGCAATAGCCAATATATTTAAAATAGCGCGTCGATGTAGTCCTTGCATAATATTCTTGGATGAATTGGAGGCCATGTTTGGAACTAAAGAGTCCAGTGGTAGCTTTAGTAGAAAGGTAATTTTTATACTGTAACATTGATATTTGTAAGGAAATTCTATTCTGACCCGGGTCAAAATGACCCTCAACAAAATTTTAGGGTTAGTGCGGGCCAGAATTATATTGATGCCGGCCAGGGTTTTTTTAATATAAAAACCCGGCCGGCATTAACATAATTGTGGCCCGCACTAACCCTAAATTCTAGGAAGGGCCATTTTGACCCGGGTCAAAATAGAATTTCCCTATTTGTAATTTAGTTGGAATTGGATCAATTAGATTCAGTGGATCAAGGAGTTGTTGTACTTTCTGCAACCAATAATCCAAGAGCTATTGATCCTTCTTTATTAAGACCTGGTAAATCTAATGTAAATTAGTATTATTTAATAAAAATTATTACATATTTGAAATTTGTCATTTACCTATTGTTTAAATTAGGCCGCATTGATAGATTAGTTTACATTAAACCTCCATCGTTTTCCGAAAGAATTTCAATTTTACAAATACAAAATGTTAAAATGAAATTTTCTAAAAGCGTAAATCTTAGAGAAATTGCAGAAAAAACAGAGAATTTTACTGGTGCTGATCTAAAAGCTTTAGTACAAAGGGCAGCTCTTTTGAGGTTTAAGAAATACAAGGCTGGAGAGCGACAATTAAATCTCGACGTTGAGGTACTTAATTGTCGAATTATTGTAATGTAATGTACCTTTATAATTCATAATTAATTATTTATTTATTTATAGTGCAATATAAATCAAGCAGATCTTTTAGAAGCTCTTTCAAAATCTAGTCCTTCTATTAATTTGTCACAGCTTGATATGTATGAAGAATTTCTAAATTCTTAATTGATGTATGTCACTTTAAAATACTTGATAGAAAACCCCGTTTTTTTCTTATACAATGTTATGTTTGATAAATAAAAAAAATATGTATCCAAAAATTTTATTTAAGGGTGAAAATATTTCTACCTTACTATAAAAATATGAGAGAAGCTGTATATTGTTACCAAAGTGGTGACAATATAATGCCATAAAGAAATTGCATCTTATTTAATAATATATATATGAATTCAGCCAAGTAAAACTCGTAAGTACGATGAAATTTTAAAATCTGTACTTACCATGTTTTTAGTGAAGTACTAGAACTTGAATCATTCCAGTTATTTCAAAAACCACTACATTTAAGGGTAGGGTGTGTGT